TTCTAATTCATAGCAACCCTGTAAAGGGTTTCCATGGAACAGCTGGTGGTTTTGAACATCCAACTTTGTGGTTCCCAGTCTAGTGCAGCTGATTTTCTCAAATTAGAAATATATTTCATGACATTCATGTTACTTGTTCAAATGTCCTTTAGTACTTACTCGACTGATACCAATGACCCAAAGCACACATTGTTGATAAAGAACATTCTGCTCATGCCTTGTGTCCTGTCTAGGCATTCATCTTTCACAGACAGCAGTTACCATAATGTGATCAGCCACGACTTAACTTCTTTTCTTCCAAACACCCACACTTTTTATGTTGTTTTTCTCACAGGGAGACACATCTTCCCTTTTCACATGAATGCACCCACCACTGGATTTGCATATTGTTCCCCTGTTAAAACCTTCTTTTGCAAATTTGAGATTAAAAGTAAGCCCTCATCTGTCTTTACTTATCAGAACTCATCATTAAACTTCTCAAAATGAGGTTCCCTGCTCAACTCATGGGGCTATTAATGCTCTGGATCTCTGGTGAGGACATGAGAAAGAGAAGGGGTTAGGAGGGTGAACTTCAGTGACACCATTGGTTAACATGTGTATTCATAGTAACCAGTTGGTTAATGTGTTAACATGTGTAGGTGTGTTAGATGGATACAGTAGGTCCTTTTGGTCTATTCATTTGTAGATGTGAGGAAGAAAGAAGAGGAGTCAGAATCTGCATTTGTTTTTCTGGTGAAAATTGTAAGAATATCATAGGGGGTTGGTGTAGGCAAACAGGATATTTTGAGATATGAAGGATAAAAAAATATGACAGTAAAAATAGAAGAATATTTTATCAAATAAATGAAAATAACAATGGAAAAGAATCATGTAAAGTGTTAATGATGTTTGCACATAATCTTGCACTTCTCTCTCAATGTTGTAGCATCGAAAGCAGATATTGTGCTGACCCAGACTCCACTCACTCTGTCCATCACTATTGGAGAGCCGGCCACCATCACCTGCAAGTCGAGTCAGAGCCTTGTACATAGTAATGGAAAGACCTATTTGCACTGGTTCCAGCAGAAGCCAGGCCAAGCTCCACGTCTCCTGATCTATGAAGTTTCCAACAGGTTCACTGGGGTCCCAGACAGGTTCATTGGCAGTGGGTCAGTTACAGATTTCGCTCTTAAAATCAGCAGAGTGGAGGCTGAGGATGTGGCAGTTTATTACTGTGAGCAAGATGCACAAGCTCCTCCCACAGTATTAGAGTCCTATACAAAATATTGTGGTGGGGCTTGGCCCAGCTGCCCAAATGCTTGACTTGCCTGAAAGCAGACATACCCATTCTCTAGTGTTAAGAAGAGGAAGATGTGGTAGAATTCAGAGCAATGTGTTGTGACTGAGATCTGATTCAAGGGTAGATTTATATAGGAAGGTTTAATGTGTCTTCAGGACATATTCAATGCTCAGCTTGTGTACGCTATTTCCACCTGATGATGGCATGCTAATTTCCATAAATTTAGGACATGGGGGATCAGACACTGCTCAAATCATAAAACAGGAGCACATCACATGGCTGCTAGATGTCCTGTGGTCAAAGTTTATTTTGTTTTGTCAGAGCTTAATGTTGTTGTTGTTAAGTGACTTTGAATCATTTTGGACTCCTACAGATACTTTACAGAGTTTTTGAGACTTTTTAAAATCTTTGCAGGAGGCTTCTGCTTTAATGTATCTTGATTTCAGGACTAGCAGGCTGGAAGCAATTCCCTACAAGGGGAATGGACCAGGATAGATTCACTTAGGGTTTAGCAGCTGGCAGACGAGCTGCAGGTGTATATAATGGTTGGTACGTACAACAGACTGACAAGTACCTTCCACTGGAAGTGTATTTCTCCCCATTATAAGGAAGCAGAACTGTACATGGGTGAGTCTGTCTGCCTGGACTGGTGCATCTCCAAGTACCCATTGAGAGGATTGGCAAAAACTTGACAGAGTTGCCCATGCAGGATGAAACATTTATGAAGAGGGTGCAGCAGAGCTCAGGGCCTGTGTGAATCCCAGGCAGACATTCTGGGCAGTACTCTGCCCCTTCCTGCTTGCCTCCCATACATACACCTTTGGGTGCCATCTGTGAAGACTGTGTCAGACCTTGGCTCTGTTGAGGGTGTCAGGAGCCTGGAGTGAGGTAGATCTCTATTGTACTTGAAGATGTGCTGCTGGTCACACTGGAATAAAAGTTATGTGTGTATGCGTACATAAATATTATTAAACAAACTTGCTGACACAGAAAAGAAAACATATTTTACAGAAGCAGAAAGACTCATCTTTCTCCTGCAGAGTCGCTGGCAGGATCAAACCTATGGACCTTGTGATTCATGGACCATTGATTACAGTATGTTGTTGTTGTTAGGTGCCATGGAGTTGGTACTGACTCATAGCAACCCTATGCACAACAGAACAAAACCTTGCCCCATCTTGGGCCAACCTCACAATTGTTGCCAAGCTTGAGCCCATTGATGCCGTCACTTTTCCAATCCATCTCACTGGGGGACTTTCTCTTTTTCTCTGACCCTCACCTTACCAAACATGATATCCTTCTCCAGAGACTGGTCCCTCCTGACAATATGTCCGAAGTATGAGAGATGATGTTTGGCTATCCTGGCCTCCAAGGAGCACTCTGGCTACACTTCTTCCAACACTGATCTGTTGGTTCTTTTGGCAGCCCATAGTACTTTCAATATTCTCCTCCAATGCCATAACTCAAAAGCATCAATTCTTCTACAATCTTCCTTATTTACTGTCCAGCTTTTGAATGCATATGAGGTTATTGAAAATACCATGGCTTGGGTCAGGCACACCTTAGTCCTCAAGCTGACATCTTTACTTCAAAACTTGTAAAAGGTTGTGCAGTAGATTTGCCTAATGTTTGATTTCTTGACTGCTGCTTCCATGAGTGTTGATGGTTGATCCCAGATTATAGTATGGAGCCACCTTAATAGTAAGTCAGAACCTGTATTTCAAGAAGAGAGTCATTATCTCCCAAAGAGCTCATGGCACTGCTCCAATACTCTGGAAGTCTGTACTGAGGTTCTCTAGGGACTTGGTGAAGCCTTTGAACATCATCCCTTTGTGTCATGGATATATTATCCCTCACTGGTCTACTGAATCATAAGGCCCACTGCAGACTGTAACCATTGCAGAAATGTCTGCCTGCTTTCTTTCAGACTAAATTACAACTAACAATCTTACATGTTACTGTTTATATGAGTCAGAATAACTCACTTCAGCATGTTCTGTTCTCATAATCTGTAAAGAAATGTTCACAATCACTAGCCATTAGAGAGATGCAAATCAAAGCATCTCACATCAGCAATAATAGCAAAGATTAAAAAAAAATAGAGGACAATAAGTACTGGCGAATATGTGGAGAGACTGGGACACTCCTGCATTGCTGGTGAGATTGCAAAATGGTCCAACCTCTCTGGAAAACAATATGGTGCTTCATCAGATGATTGCAAATAGAAATACCTTATAATCCAGCAATTCCTCTACTTGGTGTTTACCCACAAGAAATGCAAGCCATAAAAGGAGTAGAAACTTCAAGCCACCGCATAACATGAATCAACCTTGAGGACATTATGTTGAGTGAAATTAGTCAGCCACAAAAGAAGAAATACTGCATAGGACCACTATTGTAAAAGACTAAGAGAAAGAATCCATACTAAAGGAGAAAGGATTCTTTGCTGGTTACCGGGATGTTGAGGGTGGGGTGAGGGGATGGAGGGACAGATGGAGCACAGAGTAGGGAATAGACACAGGATAGTTTGGGTGCTAGGGAGTGGGGCAATACACAAGAAGGAGGAGGGGAATGGAAGGACACTGTGGATGAGAAAACAGTTAGCCAGGTTTATATCGGCTAAGTGGTACAGAGGTAAATAACGATATATGCATAACCTTGGAACATCAGGGCTTTGGGATACAGGGATTGAGGCATGGTTGGAATGGGAGAAAGTGGGGAAACAATGGTAAGATGCTTGGTTGTCTTTTGATATCATTATAAAATAGACACTTGAGGGGGAGAGAAAGGAATAGCCAGAAATATCACCATAGAAATCTTGTAAGTCCATCTTCTGCCTATAACTGATCCGGAATACCTAAAATGGAGCTGTCAACGTGCCCAGTGTAGGAGGCTTCCTGCCAAGCCTCTGTATTATATAAGACCATAGGTGGAATCCTGAACCCCATCGAGAATCTTCTGAGGTGGGAAATTTCTACTTGAAAGGACAAGCAGACCAGCCCAGAGTGGCTAGAAGAACAGAAGATTCTTCTTGAAATAAAGACCAACAGGAAAACTACAAAAGAATAATGGAAGTCCAAGCTGCTCACCCAGGAGACATCAAGGCAAGTGGTTGGGTCCCCTCAAAACAAACCTCCTTCCAAGACTAAAACTTAATGGGAATACATGAGCAAACATTCACTTTGATTGGTGAACACATTCATCACCAATAAGGGGAAGTGAGGGAAAAACAGCAATGAACCTGAGAGCTAAGCCCTACAATGTTCAACGGATTCCTGTGAACCTGGGTGGAGACCTGGTTGGCCAGCAGTGTGGCAAGACCTGGGGACACTTTGGCCCAGAGTCAGTGACA